CTCCAGTATTCTTAACTGGAGAATCCCATGGACATTGGAGCCTGGTGGGCTACAGTCCATGGGGTTGCAAAGAGTTGGACGTGACTTAGTGACCAAACACACACGCACCCACACACACATGAGATTTCACACTACTGTAATGTTTGAGTTGTATATTTGCTGCTTTTTGACATTACGACACCCAGTTGATAACTGTTCTGTTTTTCATTATCAAAATACTGTTGCATTTTTTAACCTTTTATATGCATTCTAGGCACATTTATAATAACTACAATATAATTTCAAGATTTTCTCAACTGACTAATAGGTCAATTAGAATTTAGTTTTCTGTTCATGGGTAGCATTCTACCTTATGTTAATAAAAATTCATTGGTATTGTGTTAAAAGTTTTCAAAGTGTCCTTGATCTTCATAAGACTGAAAAGGCAGACCTTATCTACATTTTACAGAGAAGAAAAGTCAGGCCTGGAGTGACTTGCTCAGTCTCCCTGAACATAGTTAATAGCAGGGGTCTTCTGATTCCATCACTGTCCCATATCCTGAATCTGGCTATGAATTTTTTTTTCATATTTGTTAACCTTAAAACATAGTTTCTGGCTGGTTTGTAATTTCACCAGCCAACAAATACAAGAGAGAAAAGTTAGTAATGGATTAGTTAATTAGTAATTTGCTGTTTTATGAGTAAGCACTGTGTTCTCTTTATCTTGCAACATTTAAAAGTGTGTATGTGAGAGAGCTCGAAGGAAGTGTGCATGTGGGGGAAAAAAGAGAGTTGAGAGGAGTCATATTTTCTCTGGAACAGTTTGTCCTGTTTGACTCGGAGGTTAATCACCATTTCTACTTATCTGCTTCTTTCTCAGCAAAATTAGGAGTGTCCAGTTGGCTTGGTGATATACTGTATAAATATAAGACCAATTTATAGAGCAAAATTCATATAAGGAGAAATAGTAGAAAGAGACAGTAAACCATAGTAAGTGTGGCAATAGTTCATTAAGGTTTCTTAACAGAGGAGTGGCCAGAAATGAGCTTTGAACTGTTTTGAACAAGTGCAAGGATGAGGTTTAAAAGTCTGCTACTTGAGATTCACGTTGGTTTGTGATGCAGTTTTCACTGGTCCTCAGCAAGATGAAAGTAATAAGGACAAGGTATTGACAGTGTACACATATATCTCTGTATGAGACTGATCTCTTCTTTATCTCTCTGCTTTAGTCACTGAGAAGTAAAGTGATGTCTTAGGTGGGGAGTGGGAAAGGTTTTGATATCTTCAGATACCTTCTGGGTGTACATCTTTAGCTTTTCCCTGTAACATCTAGATTTACCAAGGGACAGGTTTTCAGAAAACTCCCTAACACTTGAGGGTTCTATGGAAGTTCCTTCTACCCTTCTAGGTTCTTTAACTGGACTCATAAATTGATAAAAGGCAGATGAACAGGAGAAAAACAAACATGTTCAATAATATGTATACCTCCTATATACGTTGAGAGAGACCCAGGAGAACTGAGTCACTCTTCAAAGTGGCCCAAGCCACCACCTTCACTACCATCTCAAGCTAAAGGCAAAAGAAAATGTTGGGGTGGGGAGTCAGGTATTAGAGATGACCAGGAAGAGCTCAGTAAACGAGGGTATGGTTGTGCAGATTTAAGTCCTTGCCTTCTGTGTTGATAAAGAGTTTCAGGAGATTTCGCATCATTCCTCTCTTCCCGTTACAGAGAGGGCGGCATCCTTACAAATGGAGACTTCCCTTATAAAAGGATGACTTCTTAGAAAAGGATAACTTTTTCTTATAAAAGGATGACTTCTGCTCACCTTATAGAGATTTTCCTGTATCTGCTGTTTATTAAAAATAGCTCAAAATAATCAGTATACCAGAGAAGCATGTTTGGGGCTGTGTATTTGGCCTCCCCTCAGCCCAGTTGTCTGGGAGCTGTGTTGCAGCAGACTGATGTCATAAACAGTATTGCACTTGGTCTTGTGGTCCGGGTCAGGTGTTCCTTACCTCGAATGCTCAGTTTTCTGTTTCTCTGTCTCCTTCCTTCTCTCTGTCTCCTTACCGTAGCCCTCTTCTCAGTCCTCTTCTGCCCCCACTTGTCTCGCCTCTCTCCCTCCACCTACAGAACCTTCTCCCTAGTCCTCTCTTGCTCTCTCTTTTCTAGCGCTCTATTTCCATTTCTTTGTATCTAGGGATAATGTCTAACAACAGGCATCTCATGTGTTTAAGTACATGTTTTATTAATAACAATCATTTTCATCTAAATGGAGATTTCTGATTGCAAAAATCTTCATTCCTAAAAGCTCTCCAGGAGCAGGAAGCTTTACATTTCTTGGTAAGGGACACTGTAGTGGTAATACCAACAGGGGTAGGAATAATGATAATAACAGCAAGTATGTTTGATTCTTCTGCTTATGGCAAATAATTTTCCGAGTCTTCACCACTTAAACCACATGTTGTCCTGGGGTTCTCAGAGTTTAGTCTCTGCATCCTTGGAGATGCCAAGGGCTCTTCAGGAACCCATGAGGTCAGAGCTGTTTTCACAGTGATGCTAAGAAGCCTTCTGCACTTTTCATTTGCTTTGATTACACGGAAGCATTGGTACGCAAAGCTGTCGCCTCCTCAGCCTGAATCAAGGTGAACGGCCAATATAGTCTTCATTGTCAGCACTCTCAGTTAAAACTTTTTTTTTAAGTCAATGTTATTTTTTTTTCAATGTTATTTTAGAAAGCCCCTAATGAAGCAGTAAGTTTTATTAAATCTTGACCCTTGAGTGCATGTTCTTTAAGTGTCCTGGATAACAAAATCGAGAAGTATGCATAAAATACTTTTGTGCATTTGAATTGCCAACTAAATTAGTCATATTTTTCGTGGACCACCCTTTTTATTTGAAAGAACAACTGTTAAGTAAACTGTGGTTATTCAGACTTGGGTTTTGGGGAGACATTTTCTTGAAGGCAGACAGTAATTTCAAGGAAAACACCATATTGGTCCATTGGAGAAAGTTGTCCAGTGGCCAAACTGGATGGTCCTTCTGGAGGGGCAGGTATTCCCAGGGGCCTTTTTGCTTTGAATATTGATGAATGTTTGAATAGCAGAGCTAAAATACCATTTTCCACGGTTTACCTACAGCAGAGTATACGTTAGAAAAGTAGAGACCAGATATTGAAAGCCACATCCAAGCTAACACTCTACAATACATGACTTGTGGCCTCATCTTATATTTTATAGTGCTTTAAACTTTCAACTACTTTCATATATATACATTTTCATCTGATCCTCACACAACTCTGTGAGTATCTAATGCAATTTAAAGATATGGAAATTGGGTCTCAAAGAAGATAATTCCATGAATGCACTTTATATTCCCCTGCCCTTTCATCTGTTATCCATGAGGGCCTGAAATAAGTCAGAACAAATGGAGAGGAGATAGAATCTATACAATCTGGTAACTGAATAGGGGCAAAAAAATAAATGGAGATGAAGGCGATTTTCTGAAATATTTTCCTTGGGGCCCTTTCCTTGCCCAAGAAAGTAAAAATAGGAAAGGAAAAGATTCAGTCCACAAATATTTCCTAAAAGTCTTTTCATTGGCTCTGCTGTAATCCGCTCTGGGGGCGTCTTAGGATGTATAGACTGTGCTGTTAAGATTTCTGTACAGGAAGATATGGCATAAATGCCAGTAACTCGGATTCAAGGGGAAATGCGCTAAGTGCCTTAAGAAAGGCATAGTTTAGGTCCACTAGCTATTCACAGGGAAGGAATTACTTCTGGGCCTAGGGAAAATTTTATGGGAGAGGAAGCATTTGAAACGAGTCTTAGAGAATGGTAGAATTTGGATGTGCAGAGGTGGTTGTAAGGAGACAAGGAAACTTCAGTTACAGGAGAATTAGAGTGGGGCGTGGAAGGAGGGTATAGAGGTATGTAGAGGTTGATGTGGAGAAGGCAATGGCACCCCACTCCAGTACTCTTGCCTGGAAAATCCCATGGACGGAGGAGCCTGGTAGGCTGCAGTCCACGGGGTCACAAAGAGTCGGACATGACTGAGCGACTTCACTTTCACTTTTCACTTTCATGCATTGGAGAAGGAAATGGCAACCCACTCCAGTATTCTCACCTGGAGAATCCCAGGGATGGGGGTGCCTGGTGGGCTGCCATCTGTGGGGTCGCACAGAGTCAGACACGACTGAAGCAACTTAGCAGCAGCAGCAGCAGAGGTTGATGAGAACACAGCTTGTGTGTAGGTGAATAATGAGACAATATTGGCAACAATTACTCCAACTAGGGCTTCCCTGGTGGCTCAGGTGGTAAAGAATCTGCCTGCAATGTGGGAGACCTGGGTTCAGTCCCTGGGTTGGGAAGATCCCTGGAGAAGGAAATGGTAACCCACTCCGGTATTCTTGCCTGGAGAATTCCATGGACCTCTGTCCATGAATGTAGCCTGGCAGGCTACAGTCCAGAGGGTTGCAAAGAGTCGGATATGACTGAGCAACTAACACAACACGCACACACATTCCAGTGAACTATGGGAAATGTTGACTACTATATACATCATTTCCATTTTGGATTTAGTTCCTTTTCAAAAAAGACATATGTCAAATACATATCTTTTAAAGTACAACTTAGTTATTTCTTTACACAAAAGTTCATTTTTCATTGACTAGTGTAAGGACTTCAAGTTCCGATAATGTAATTGCTCTTCCCAGATCTTCATTTATGGTTTTAGAGAGAGTTATGCAAAATATTTTACTATGTTCTTTTTGTTTTTTTTTTACACCTGTGGTGGCTTGTCTTGAAATAAAGCTGCAATTTTTAGGTAACTTTATTTTAGTCACACTTAGAAATTCCATCAATCCTTTAAATTGCATTTTCATCTGAACTGCATCCCTGTGTCTATCTTCAAATAGTTTAGCTTTATCCTTCGGGTCTTTCTTCTCCTTTGGTATTAGTATTGGTTATCATTCACTGCAGAATTTATCTGACATGGATATTTGTTATTGTTTTTCCCCTAGATAAGTCAGATAAGTATGATTCACGTGATGTTGAAAGACTACAGCAAGATGATAACTGGGTTGAAAGTTACTTGGCTTGGAGGCATAATGTCGTAGATGAAACACTGAAGATGCTTGATGAGAGTTTTCAGTGGAGGAAAGAAATGGCTGTCAATGGTAAGCTGTTCAATTTAACCTTGACTGTGTACTGTATCCCTTCCCTGAATAAATGTTACTATTTTACATTTATCAAATAGCATATTTGGAAATATTGTTGGCAGTCACCATAAATATCAGGGTACAAGGTTTTATAAAGACCCAGTAACGCTTTGAGAGAAGCATCTTATAAATAAGTCTTAAATGTAGGATTATTCACAAGGAAATCAGATTGCCAAGGAGCCGAATCACACTCAAGTTCTTCACTAACAGCACAGCCTCCTATTCTGTAGCTTTTTGGTTTAGAACCTTAATTAAACTAGCAGCTCAGCATCTTCACCACCAGGCCTGGAGAGAGATACTATTTGCCTGTTTTTCTCAGTTGTTGCCTGGTGTCTGCCTCTATTCCCAGGGTTGCTTGTGCTAATAGGTGCTCCATGTGGAATTACTAGACGAATGGGAATCCCCCAAATGCAAGCTTATCCCCAAGGATGCCTGTAGCTGCCTCCTCTTAACATCTTGATTTCAAGGTCCAATTCTAGATTGAAATTGTGCCCCCTCCCCCCCAAAAAAAAGAGTTTTAGATCTTAGAGGGGATTATGTAGTAGTCTTTAAGTAAGTGAAGATCTCTTTTCAGGAAAAGTTACCCATTATCTCTCTCCTCCTAAAAAATTTAACAGGAAGAAACAGGCATAACTACTGGTTTCAGTTCAGTTGCTCAGTCGTGTCCAACTCTTTGCGACCCCATGTACTGAAGCATGCCAGGCCTCCCTGTCCATCACCAACTCCTGGAGCTTACTCAAACTCATGTCCATCGAGTTGGTGATGCCATCCAACCATCTCATCCTCTGTCATCCCCTTCTCCTCCTGCCTTCAATCTTTCCCAGCATCAGGGTCTTTTCAAATAAGTCATTGAAACTACTGTTTTTAATGAGGTTTAAAGAAGGGTTTCCTGACTATAAGGATTATAAACTCTGGAGTGACCGAGTCTGGAGATTTAATACAAAATAGTCAACAAATAAATCCAGAGCAGATACTCTTTCCAGTCATCATATTTGGAGAAGGAATCTATCAGAAGGAGGGTATTTAAAAAATCACTTGATTGTAAATATAAAAACTGTAGGTAATTTGAACAGTGAGCATTTATTAATCAAGCAAGAAATATAAACCTGATATTCCTAAATCGTTTAAGTACAGGATAAACCTAAACTCAGCAATAGTTTTCTCTTACATAGAATTGCTAGTTTCTAGTGGCCAATGGCAGAGATATGATGAAAGAGGGGTGGGGAAAGATAAAGACATCTTTGAGAGTTCTTAGGGAAGTACTGATGAATGACACAAAAGCCTTGGCATTTGCTGCCTTGCTGTGTTGGTTCTTGACCTTGCTAGAGAGGAGGCCTCCTGCTAAAGGATCTAGCATTTTTCTTGAAGTATTTCCCACCTGTGCCAAGATTATAAATGTGTTAGACTCTGCTGGTTATCAGACTTTGTAGAAAAATAGACTTTGTAGAAAAACATTTTACTAGAGAAACCATAGTGATTTCTTACATCACCTCCAAGACTATGATGTGGATATTTACTGCCATGTTCTTCTGAAATTGTCCAATAGTGATATTTGTTTGCAAGTCATTATGAGGAATAAAATCAGAACATGATAATGTGTCCACATCATAATGGCTGACATGTAAAAGGAAATGGATTTTTTCCATTTTTCTCATCTCTGTCTTTATGTAGTTTTTTCCTACTTGGTAAGAAACACTATTCTTTTTATCATCAGAGGTACTTTCCGGATGTTTGCAAAAGCTATATCTTTTTAAAAAAATAGCCTTATCTTTTTCTGTATCAGAACCACTATGTAATAGTAACCTTTACATTGTAAGTATTCTCTTTAAAAGACCTCTGAGTTAGAATTACTCATTAAAGTTTGTCACCTTTTAGACCTGACTGAAGCCTCCATTCCCAGGTGGCTATTGGAAATTGGTGGCATTTATCTCCACGGTTATGACAAAGAAGGCAACAAGTTGTGTGAGTATATTTAATATATGTACTGGCTTTTCAGGATTTTGAGACGTCATCCATCTCAACTGAATTGATTATAGGCATAACTTTCTGTGTATGAACCATTTGTCAGGTTTCCTACAGTGGGAGTGGTTAGGGCCAGGTGGACCAAGTAGTTGAATGTGCCATTTGCATTATAATAAAGCAGGCTGTAAAGGCCCAAATGCCGCATCCCATCACACAGCCGAAATGATGTAACTCAAAGTCATTTTCTTCTTTCTAATTTACTGATATGAAAATTCAACCCGGTATCCTGATGGAGAATGTTTTTGACAGTCACTGAGGATGGCTAAATGGACTTTTCTTCTTCTCGAGTTTCCCAGTCTTCTCCCCTTGCTTCTTCCTAAATCAGTGTGTTGAGTGAGGCGACTGGCAGCCTGCCGGCCTCCCTCGTCAGTCCTCTCTTCCCTTTGCCCAAAACGCAGCTCGGTTGGCACCATGGCTGGGCCTTGGTGGCCACGGCGGAGCCCCCATCCTGGGCCGTCAGCCTGCCGAAGCAGGGTGCTGCACACTCCGTGCCCGCCTCGCACGCCCGGTCTGCGGCCTCTCGGAGCGTTTTCCTCCCTGTGCCGGCTCCTCCTGCTCAAGCTTCCTTTCCCGTTTCTCTTCTTCCACTTGGTGCCTCACATGTGTTTCTCAGGCTTTGTTCCTTTCCTGGCCTCTTTTCCTTTCCAGCTGATGCCGCCTCCTTGGGTGATGTCAAGTACCCGGGCTCCTTCAGCCCCCGTCCACCACACCGCGGTGACCCCAGGCTGGCCCCCAGGCCACATGCACATACATGGCCAGCTGCGCACCGGCTAGGCGGTTGGCGCCTTCAACACAACACCTAGTGCGCCACACACGTCCCGCCACCGCCTTCCCTGTGCTGCCCAGCTCAGGTCCACAAGCCATCAACTCTTCCCTGGACAGAGCTTCACTTGAGCCCCTCCTCTGATTTCAGCAGCACTTCCTCACTTCAGTCCCAGCCCATCCCCACCCCAGGATGCAGCCTGCTGGGCCTCCCTCTCTGCCTCGTGCTGCCTCCCCTCTGTGCTGCTGCCTAGAGATGTTTGAAACAGGAAAATCAAAACACCTTAGCACTTAACGCAGAGCCCTTTGAGCCCAGCTCTGCCTCTCTGTTCACCTACTCCTCCCACTGCTCGTCACACTTTGTCCTAGCTGCCACCACTCTCAACACGCGCCATGCTCTGCCCCCACACACGACACCCACTTTTGCCACCATTGTGCTTCTGTCTGGGCTTTTCCTCTGGATAGCATGTTTCTCTAGTGCTTTCTTTATTGTTAAGCACAGGGCAGAGTACTTGCAAATATTACTTGTTCACCTGCATTGTCTTTCTTCCCTTGCTTACCAAGGAGGAAAGTGTATTTTCTAAGGGGGCGGAAATGCCTTTCTGTGACTCTTTAAGAGTAAGAGAAACAAGTATACACTGTTTCTCATTTAAAAGAAGGAAGAGATGTTTTTAATCTGAGAAAATGAAATTTAAATTTAACAATGTCAAGGGAAAGGAATGATATATGCATAAAATAGTATTAAAATGCTCTAAATATTTTTTCTTCTTTTTATCTTATGTTCTGCTCAAAGTCTGGATCAGGGTGAAGTACCATATAAAAGACCATAAGACCATGTTGGACAAAAAGAAGCTTATTGCATTCTGGTTGGAACGGTATGCTAAGAGAGAAAATGGGAAGCCTGTTACAGTGATGTTTGACCTGTCAGAGACTGGACTGAATAGCATAGTAAGCATTTTTCATTAATTCTGAATCATTGTTTATCATGGTGTCGTCCTCCTCTCCTGTCCTTCCCATCACCGGCCACTCAACCAAAGAATCCTATAAAATTGAGCTAATCAAGTCATGTTTGGATTTTATTCCCCCTGCCCAGAATTGTGATTGAAGTCAAACATGGAATAGGATTTGCAAAAAAACTAAACCTATTTGGCATTGAAACTGTCTATTTCCTAGAAATGTTCCTTGCCCGATATGCAGGATATTGGATGTAAAGGCTGGCAGGGTAATGAGTAGATGTGGTAACAGTGAACTTTTCTATCAGAGCCAATATCCTCTATAGCACCTCCCCTGTGCCTGGCACAGAGGAATGCACTCCGAAAATGAGGAGCACGATAGTGAAGGCTCTCCAGCATACCATTACCTGCATGCCATGATTTTGCAGTGGCAGGATGTTCACTTGCTTTTTTGCATATCCAGCACTTTGTGATTTTGTTGGTTTCTTGTTTGCTCCTTTAAATTCGCTTTCTGTTTGATTTGGTTAGTTTTCAAACCCAGTTTTCTTCAGGTGATTCTTGCCAATCTTAAAAAATAAATAAAACTTACCGGTCTTTCATTTGAGCCCTTAGTGCTGACTGCAAACTCTTCAGCAGTGATGGGGATTTGTTGTCTGTTTATTAGAGCTGTTGTCTCTAACCCTCAAACCTGGGCTAATGCTGGTGGCAGTGAAGTGGCGTTTGGGGACCCGCCTGCATCAGTGTTGAAATCTTCTTGAAAATCCAGTTGGCAAAGTATGTTAATATCTTTCAAGTGTTCGTATTCATACTCTTTGCCTGGTAATTAACTTCTGGAAATCTATTCTAAAGAAATAAACCTTGGTACAAAAAATAAACTTTTGTACATCAGAAATTTTTTTTCAGAGTGTCATTTAAAATGGTGAAAAATTAGAAAAAATGTAAATTTCAACACAGTGAAGTGGTGAATTATGGTATATCTAACTGATGGCATATGTGTAGCTATGTACAATGCTGTTTATAAAGAATTTGCAGTAATACTGGAAAATAGCTTTTTTTTAGATGAAAAAGGTGACAAAATTATATCATAGTGATATCTCACCCCAAAAAGGGAAACTTTAGACATTAAAAAAAAAAACCTAGAGTATTTTTAGGCAGTAAGCCCACATTTTTTTTCATCTTTCTGTATCTCTGAGTCATTTGGCCTTGATTCATTTTTCAATCTAGTTTCCATGTCAGTGAGTTCTAGATTACAGAGTAAATCATTTTATATCTCAAATCTAAACCAAAATGCCTAGATAAATAGATATTCCATGAAAATAAATTATGATTCTGTTATCCTTTATGTATGATAGTATTCTAATAATTAGTATTTGAATTAACCCAGAATCATAAAAAATGTTAATGTTTTTTATTAACAAATACAGGGGCAGAGAGTTGAGCTGTCTGATAATTTTTCAAACTACTTATATTTTATTTCATTAACTTTAATTTATAAATAAGATTTATTTGCATTACTTAATATGTAAATCATTAATATTTCCAAGTACTAGAATCTTACTGAATTATGTTTATATAATGTTTATATATTTCTATGTTTATACATAGTCATGTTTATATATATATATATATATAAAATCCTCACAATTCACAAAAGATTTAAGCTGGCCTATAAAGATGTATACAGAATTGTAAGTCAAAAATTTTTACAATTATTTATTAGAGTTAGGCCACTAATTTGGCTTTAAGCTTGCCTGAAAGAAATGGAAACATTTAAAATTACTCAGTGGACATACTTTAAAACCTGTGTCTTAAGAGAAGTTCATCCATTCCTGATACTTGAACTAGAAGAAAAGTCTTTCATGGGTCTTCAAAGGGAAGACGTTTTACAGGATAATGACTAGCATCCTTGAAAATATCCTCACAGATTGCAGAGCAATGGGTTTCATGGAACTTCTTTATGTAGTACCTACCAATATATGTACACCAGTGGCATCCTATTAAATCGACTTGAATTAGCAGTAATTTGGGATTTTATAAGCCAGGTGATTCAGTTAAATAAATGGTGAAAACAAGAATATTGGGCAAGAACTTTTTAGGCAAAGTCTGGGGGCCACAGATCATATACTAGATAGTTAAATATATAAATTTTGAGTTATTCTCTTTGACTCTTACTTTACTACAGATTATTAAACCCTGTGTACAGTAGATATAATGACTAGTTATAAAAGTATTATTATATGCTAGGGTTTATTCCATAGTAAATACTTAACGATACTTAAGGATGCTTATTTTCATTTTATTGGAGTTAAAAGATGCTATGACTCGCATGCTAGGAATAACTTTATAGACTCAGATCTCCGGAACAGCTCACCTTTTAGTAATTGATGCCTTTAAGTTTACCTGGTTGTATTTTTCATCCTACAGCCCTTACAAGTCGTTAGTAAGTCATCCCATGGCCAGTGGAAACATACAAAATGAAATGATCCATGTAAATAGTATCCTTGATAATCTAATTTCATGTTGCTGTGTTTGGTGCAGTAGAACCAACAGTCAGCTATATCTCCCAGAAATTGAAGTCAATGAACAGTATTTAAATATACACTAACAAATTCTTATTCTTGATTCCTACATAAGAGGAATAAAGGTAGAAGTAGATCCAGTGAGCTGGTATGATCAGATTAACTGCTGTGTAAAAGATTAATAAAATATATCTTATTGACTATTATGAGGTATAGAAATTAGGTTTAAAAAAGAGACATATCAGAATTTATATACATATATATTGCCATTCCCAGTAGTCAGGCTGTAGTCTGTATATTTGTTCTAAATAATTCTTTTTTTTTTTTAGGTTTTTTTTTTTCCATTTATTTTTATTAGTTGGAGGCTAATTACTTTACAATATTGTAGTGGTTTTTGCCATACATTGACATGAATCAGCCACGGATTCACATGTATTCCCCATCCCGATCCCCCCTCCCACCTCCCTCCCCACCCCATCCCTCTGGGTCTTCCCAGTGCACTAGCCCCGCATTTGTCTCATGCATCCAGCCTGGGCTGGTGATCTGTTTCACCCTAGATAATATACATGTTTCGATGCTATTCTCTTGAAACATCCCACCCTCGCCTTCTCCCACAGAGTCCCAAAGTCTGTTCTCTACATCTGTGTCTCTTTTTCTCTTTTGCATATAGGGTTATCGTTACCATCTTTCTAAATTCCATATATATGCGTTAGTATACTGTAATGGTCTTTATCTTTCTGGCTTACTCCACTCTGTATAATGGGCTCCAGTTTCATCCATCTCATTAGAACTGATTCAAATGAATTCTTTTTAATGGCTGAGTAATATTCCATGGTGTATATGTACCACAGCTTCCTCAACCATTTGTCTGCTGATGGGCATCTAGGTTGCTTCCATGTCCTGGCTATTATAAACAGTGCTGCGATGAACATTGGGGTGCATGTGTCTCTTTCAGATCTGGTTTCCTGGGTGTGTATGCCCAGCAGTGGGATTGCTGGGTCATATGGCAGTTCTATTTCCAGTTTTTTAAGGAATCTCCACACTGTTCTCCATAGTGGCTGTACTAGTTTGCATTACCACCAACAGTGTAAGAGGGTTCCCTTTTCTCCACACCCTCTCCAGCATTTATTGCTTGTAGACTTTTGGATAGCAGCCATCCTGACTGGCGTGTAATGGTACCTCATTGTGGTTTTGATTTGCATTTCTCTGATAACGAGTGATGTTGTAAATAATTCTTTAATTGTTCAACAGATTTTTAGAACTTTTCTATGAGAGTTCCTTTTTAGATCCATTTTATAATGCCACATTACCTTAGCAGCCTGAAGTATCTAACTAGTTTGAGGTAAGATGAATGATGTGTAAGCATTTAATTTCTTTAACTCTATTTTTTTTAACTTTTTATTTTGTATTGGGGTATAGCTGATTAACAATGTTATGATAGTTTCAAGTGAACAGCAAAGGGACTCAGCCATATATTTAATTCAGTTTTAAGATTGATTATTTTAAGTATCTTAATGACTTAAAACCAAATTCTGGGAATATAGATACTTATTTTATGAGCTATTTTTAAAGAATTTAATAATTACCTCATTTTTATTTAATTGATCACCCTTAGAAATATGCAATTTAAAATTTTCTAATGTGGATATTATGTAAATTTAAATGTATATTCTTTATTTTAGGACATGGACTTTGTACGCTTTATCATCAACTGCTTTAAGGTTTATTACCCTAAATACCTCTGTAAGTAACTTTCTTGTTTATAAAGATATAGTGAAACCATAGACAACGACAGTTGTGAGCTTTATATTATTATAGCCTTTAAAACCTGAGACATTACTTTTTGGTGAAGAGCTTTAAATGTGTTAATAGAATTTTAAGTGCATATCCTAGTAGGTACAGGAGAAAATTTTCATAAATAAATAATCACTGTCCTTTATAGTTTTAAGAGTGTAAGTTATAATCTGTGTATTTGTCATCCTGTAACACGCACATGCACACACATGTAGAGACATAAAAACATACATATATTTCTAAGATTGTACCGTTTTTACTAATATTTTCAACTGAGAAATTAATTTTAAGTATTATTTGGAGCTTCTTACATGCAAGAAACAGATGCTGTATTGATAAGTATACTGTGTGATAAGCAATACTCAAACATAAAATGCACTGTTTTATCAATTTGATATTTTTAAATTGTTACTAAGAAAACATTTGACTAGTTGGCATTTAGATTTTGTTTTTTAATTGTGAGTCTTCAGTTAATTACCTAAATGAGGCACTCCTACATGTTATATATTCATGTTTGATTGATTACATTTATATGATGGTTTCCCCCTGAAGAATCAAGATGCCATCCTCCATAGATAGTCAAAAACTTTTAACCCCTGTAGGATGAAAGTAAAGAGACAGGAGAGATGCAACAGGGATATCAGAAAAAAACTGAGGTCTGGTTGGATACACCCCTGGCAAATTCTACAGTTGGGATCTTTTGGGACTTGTAACTCAGGTGACACTAAAGCATGAAATCCCTAAGTCATTATATATTTTTTTTAGGTCAAGCTTTTTTTTTTTTGGTGCGTTTTTTTAATTAAATTATTTATTTTAATTGGAGGCTAATAACTTTACAGTACTGTGGTAGTTATTGCTGACATGCTTTCACATTAGTGTTAATGTGAAGTGAAGAGCAGACAGAAAGCATGATGGATATCAAGGATCCATGCCACTCGTAGCCCTGTGCTCTCATGTTTTCAGAGAGAGCATTCATGAACATTTTTAGGTAAAAGGAATGTTTAGTTTGGGGAACCTATAGGATCTGCTGTTCCTTCTGAATTCTTCCTGGATCTGGCATGTACCCTGATTCATTAAGACCTGCTGAGTGGTGCCAGTCATTGGTCAGTTGGGAAACACTACCCCATACTATTAGGTTTTCTTTCTTTTATGTACAAGATGAAAGAAAAATCTCCACTCGTTTATTGAAATAGCCAAAGCAGTTTGTGAAGAGCCATTTTGAAGAGCACAAATATTATTACTACTTTATAAAATACATCTAAGATTCTTTTGAGGAAACTGTTAATAAATTCATGGGTCTATATGAAGATGAATTGAACACTATCATTCCAAATAACTATATAATGTATATATTCTAGCTGCATAATGCTTTGCAGACATTGAATTTTATAGAATCTTAGATTCAGTTCAGTTCAGTCACTCAGTCGTGTCCGACTCTTTGCGACCCCATGAATCACAGCACGCCAGGCCTCCCTGTCCACCACCACCTCCCGGAGTTTACTCAAACCCATGTCCATCGAGTAAGTGATGCCATTCAGCCATCCCATTCTCTCTCGTCCCCTTCTCCTGCCCACAATCCCGCCCAGCATCAGGGTCTTTTCCAGTGAGTCAGCTCTTCACATGAGGTGGCCAAGGTATTGGAGTTTCAGCTTCAGCATCATTCCTTCCAGTGAACACCCAGGCTTTAAAATTTGTCATGAAATGTAACTATTATTTCTTAAACTATTGAATCCAGATCTTTTGAGGCATATCTCAGATGAAGACTGAGGTATTAAGCACCAGGGTACCTGTTTCCATGTACCTTCTGCCCTACATGTACTTTACTTGTCCTATATTAATTATTCTAGGAGGTTCCCTTTTTAGAGAAGAATGAAATTGTCTTTTATCTGAAATAGAATGAATTTTATATCAAAAGTCCCCTTTGTGAGTTCTGATTCTTTGTCACAATTGTTAATAGAGCTGTTTAATATCTTCATCTACGTATACAACTAATATTTCTGTATACTTCGGAATTATTGGCTTCCTAGGGCTGATAATATTAAGAAAAGTTGAAACAAGTTTTGTTTCTTAAAACATGACTTACTAAAAATGAGGACAACTGTCAAGAGTGGGTTTAACAATATAATCTCTATAAAATTATAATTGAAACTATAAATTAGACATTGAAATCATTTTAAAGGTCAGTGGACTTCAGCACTAATACCACATGCCGCATCCATAGTCTCCACTTACCCACTTAACTATTTTTTGTACTTTTCTGCAAAAAACAAAAGCTATAAATGAATAAAGGAACAGGGTATTTGCCAGCGGGCAGTGATAGTGCATTTTTCATTACACATAAGCCATCCTCCTGGGTGAACCCCTCACCATTGTGAGAAGTAACTACTTTTAGCACTACTCATACTTCACAGGATTAAACCTGAGTCATATATCTCAGCTTTTACATTTATGTCACTAGTTTTTTCTTGATCAGGTGTGAGTGATACTACTATTGCAGCACTGAGTTACAGTCAATGAATTTTTTTCCCCCCATCTTTCAGCAAAAATTGTGATCTTCGATATGCCTTGGATAATGAACGGTGAGTATATTACTTATACTTTCATAATACAAAATGTCCAGTTCCTTTTTTGCTTCCCAGTTTAGCGATATTTCTATACTTGTTTTTTAAAAAAATGTTTGTATTGTGCTAGGTGTGTACTTTTAACAGGCTGGAGCTGGAATAGTCAAAGGCTGTTCCTAGGCAAACTGGGCTAACATTCTGTTCACAGACTCTGGGGACACCCTTTAGTCATGCCTAAAGACAGCTTTTAAATATTGAACCGTTCAGGTAAAACTGGAGCCGAAGCCTCAGTTTGTCACCTTCAGATGAGGTGTATCACAGAATGCAGGCCTTAGCTAGGTTTTCTCCTGGGCTTCAAGAGTTGAGCAAGAAAATGGGATGAATCTAATACTTACTCAAATCTCTATTGTCACATGATCCTTATGACAGTCATGATATGTTCTTTGACCAAAAAAAAAGTTTAAAACCATTGAAAAACTTTCTTTACCAGTTTCAGTGTGGTTGTAAATTTAATGTTATTTTTAGAATGTGCATTTTCATTCGTGTTTGCCAAAGTCAGTTGTTACATAGAAAGAAGTACAGAAAAGCAATGAAATCAAAATGTGGTTCTTTGGAAAGTTCAACAAAATTAACAAAACTTTGGTTAAACTGATGAATGAAAAAAAGACCACTCAAATTATTAAAGTCAGGAATAAAAGAAGAGACATCACTGTAGACCTTAGAGAAATGTAAAGGATTGTAAGGGAATATTGTGTATAATTGCATGCCAAGAAATTAGACAACCTTGATGAAATGGACAAATTCCTAGAAAGACACAAACTATGAAAATGGACTCAAGATTCTGAATAAGTATAACAAAAGAACTTGAATTATTAATTTAAAAAAATCATAAAAAATAGCCAAGACCCAAAATGGCTTCCCTAGTTGTTGTTCTTCAGCCACTAAATCGTGTCCAACTCTTTGTGACCTCATGGACTGCAGCATGCCAGCCTTCCCTGTCCTCTACTATCTCCCAGAGTTTTCTCAAACTCATGTCCATTGAGTTGGTGATGCCATCCAACCATCTCATCCTCTGTCACCCCTTTCTCTTGCCCTCAATCTTTCCCACCATCGAGGTCTTTTCCAGTGAGTTGACTTTTCCCATCAGATGGCCAAAATATCGGAGCTTCAGTTTCAGCATCAGTCCCTCCAATGAATATTCAGGGTTGATTTCCTTTAGGATAGACTGGTTGGATCTCCTTGCTGTCCAAGGGACTTTCAAGAGTCTTCTCCTGCGCCACAATTCAAAAGCATCAATTCTTCAGTGCTCAGCCTTCTTTATAGTCCAACTCTCACATCCATACATGACTACTGGAAAAATCATATCTCTGACTCTGTGGACCTTTGTTGGCAAAGTGATGTCTCTCCTTTTCAGTATGCTGAATAGGTTTGTCATAGCTTTCTTTCCAAGGAGCAAGTGTCTTTTAATTTCATGACTGCAGTCACCATCCACAGTAATTTCAGAGCCCAAGAAAATAAAATCTGTCATTGCTTCCACTTTATCTCCTCCTCTTTGCCATGAAGTGATGGGACAGATTCCATGGTCTTAGCTTTTTTAAATGTTGAGTGTTTTTGTTTGTGTACTTAGAAAACAAGTCTTTTATTTGGCAGAGTATTTAATTTTAAATTAGTTACATATAACCATTTGAATGTTGAGTTTTAAGCCAGCTTTTTCACTCTCTTCTTTCACCCTCATCAAGAGGCTCTTTAGTTCCTCTTTGCTTTCTGGCATAAGGGTGGTATCATCCCTATATCTCAGGTTGTTGCTATTTCTCCCAGTAATCTTGATTCCAACTTGTGATTCATCCAGCCCAGCATTTCGCATGATGTACTCTGCATATAAGTTAAATAAGTAGGGTAACAATATACATTCTTGTTATACCCCTTTTCCAATTTAAAGCAGTCTGTTGTTTTCATGTCCGATTCTAATTATTACTTCTTAACCCACTTACAGGTTTCTCAGGAGGCAGGTAAGGTGATCTGGTATTCTCATCTCTAAGAATTTACCACAATTTGATTTGATCCACACAAAGGCTTTAGTGTAGTCAGTGAAGCAGAAGTAGATGTTTTCCTGGAATTCTCTTGCTTTTTCTATGATCAGTGGATGTTGGCAATTTGATCTCTGGTTCCCTTGCCATTTCTAAACCCAGCTTGTGCATCTGGAAGTTCTAGGTTCACGTACTGCTGAATCCTAGCTTGAAGGGTTTTGAGCATAACCTTACTAGCATATGAAATGAGCACAGTTGTATGGTAGTTTGAACATTCTTTGGTGTTGCCTTGGGATTGGAATGAAAACTGACCTTTTCCAGTCATGTGGCCACCAGTGTTTGCCAGATTTTGAGATATTGAGTGCAGCACTTTAACAGCATCATCTTTTACTATTTTAGATATCTAAGCTGTAATTCCACTGTAAAGCCACTAGCTTTATTCTTTTGTAGTGCTTCCTGAGGCCTACTTCACACTATAGGATGTCTGAGTCTAGGTGAGTGACCACACCATCATGGTTATCTCGGTCTTTAACACCTTTTTTGTACAGTTCTTCTGTGTATTCTTGCCACATCTTCTTAATCTCTTCTGCTTCTATTAGGTCCTTACTGTTTCTGTCCTTTATCATGTTCATCCTTGTGTGAAATGTTCCCTTAATATCCCCAGTTTTCTTGAAGAAATCTCTGGTCTTTCCCAGTTGATTGTTTTCTTCTGTTTCTTTGCATTGTCTATTTAAGAAGGCCTTCTTATCTCTCCTTGCTATTCTCTGGAATTCTGCATTCAGTTGGGTATATCTTTCCCTTTCTCCCTTGCCTTCCTCATCTCTTCTTTCCTCAGCTATTTGTAAAGCCTCCTCATATGATCACTTGGCCTTCTTGCATTTCTTTTTCTTGGGGATGGTTTTGGTCACTGCCTTCTGTACAGTGTTACGAACCTCCATCCATAGTTCTTCAGGCACTTGCTACCAGATCTAATCCCTTGAATCTGTTCATCACCTCCACTGTATAATCATAAGGAATTTGATTTAGGTCATACCTGAATGGCCTAGTGGTTTTCCCTATTTTCCTCAAATTTAAGTCTGAATTTTGCAATACGGAGCTCATAATCTGAGCCACAGGCAGTTCCAGGTCTTGTTTCTGTTGACTCTATAGAGCTTCTCCTCTTTGGCTGCAAAGACTATAAATCAGTCTGATTTCAGTATTGACCATTTGGTGATGTCCTTGTGTAGAGTTGTCTCTTGGGTTGTTAGAACAAGGTATTTGCTTCACTAATAAATTCTACTAGACCTATATAGAAGAAGAAAATACCAACTCTTCTGAAACTCTTCCAGAAAATATAAAACATGTCCCAACTCATTTTATGAGGCAAGTATATCCCTAATATCAAACATCACAGGAAAAGAAAACTAGAGACTAATATTCCTTATGAATATAAATGAACCAACCCTCAAGAAAGTATTAACAAACTGAATCTAGCAAGCATGTGAATGGTATTATATGCTGTGATCAAGTGGGATTTATTTCAGGAATGCAAAATCGGTTCAACATATGAAAATTAACCAGGTATTCAACATATTAATAAAGGGAAAAAAGCCACGTGATAATTTTAATAGACACAAGAAAAATTTGAGAAAATCCACTACACTCTCCTGATAAAAGTACCCAAGAAACTAGGAATAGAAGGCAGAAAGAGTTGGAATGTCTGAATAGTTAGTGGGGATCACAGTAGTTCACACAAGACTACTCTCACTTCTGATACCAACTGTAATGTAATGGGGTTTCCAAAGCCACCCTTAGGTTTACTATCGTCACTCACAGAATTCACTGAAAAGTATTATACTCAGCTATGATTTATTGCTGAGAAAGGATTCAGATTAAAATCAGCCAAGGAAGAAAAACATATGGCAGAAACCAGGAAAGTATCAAATGTGAAGTGCATTACTTTCCCACCATCAGTATGTGACAGTGCTCGTAGAGTATTGCCAACCAGGAAAGCTCACCCAAACACTGACGTTCAAAGTTTTTATTGAGGCTCCATTACTTAGGCCTGACCAGTTTATCACATGGTTCATCTCAGTCTCCAGTCTCTCCAGAGGTCTACGGATACTGTGTGACCCAAAGCCCCCAAACTAAATCATATTGTTCCAGTGTGACTCAAGCATATAGGCAAACAAAGACACTCCAACAGACATGAAGATTACTTCTGAAAACTGAGGATAAAGGCCAGACCTTTCTTTGGGTAAAGTTAATTCTTCACAGAAGAGAATTTCCTCACCCTGATAAAGGACATCTGTGTAAAACTTCATCTTTGAAAACCCCCAGTTAACATCATGCTTAGTAAAAGAATGAATACTTTCCCCCTAAGATCAGGAGCCAGATAAAGTTGTCAGCTCTTACCATTTAGATTGTCAGGGCACTTAGGCAAGAAAAAGAAAAACCATCCAGATTGGAAAAGAAGTCATACTGTTCATATTTGCAGCTGACATCTATATGGAAAATTTTAAGAAATACAGACCATACATACACAGAAGCCTGTTAGAACCAGTAAACAAGTTCAGCAAGGTGACCTGATGCAAAGTCAATACATGAAACCAATTGTGTCTCTATGCATTAGCAATGAATAACCCCAAATGATATTATATAATCATTCCAGTTGTAATAGCATCACAAAGAATAAAATACTTAGAAATAAAAATAATAAAAAGTTGAAGACTCATACACTGAAAACTATAAAACACCACTGAAGGGAATTCAAGATCTGGGTAAATATTCATGTCTTGTTCATGGATTAGAAGACTTATTAATTACCAAGATGGCAGTGCTTCAAAGTTGATTTACAGATTCAATGCAGTTTCTGTCAAAATTCCAACTGCTGCCCCCACTTTTTTTTTTTAAACAGATTCGGACAAGTTTGTCCTTAAATCATATGGAGATGCAAGAGACCCAGAGTAATAAAAATAGTCTTGAGTAAGAACAGTGAAATTGAGGGACTCAACACCTTTTGATTTTATTAATTTTTAAACTTTTTGACTGATTTTTAAAAATAATTTTATTTTTTATTTTTGGCTATGCTGGGTCTTCACTGCTGTCTGGGCTTTTCTCTAGTTGTGGGGAATGCGGGATACCCTTCAGTTGCAGTGTGTGAGCCTCTCATTGTGGCGACCCCTTATGTTGCAGAACACTGGCTCTAGATAAGCGGCCTTCAGTAATCATGGCACACAGGCTCAGTAGTCTCAGCTCGCAAACTCTAGAGCACTGGCTCAGTAGCTGCAGCACACGTGCCCAGTTTCTCCGTGGCATGTGGAATCCTTCCAGGCCAGAAATTGAACCTATGTCCCCTTCATTGGCAGGTGGATTCTTACCCACTGCACCACTAGGAAAGTCCATCTCTTGATTTTAAAATTCACTATAAAGCATTAAGACATTGTGGTGTGAACATTGTAATAGAAATAAAGATCAGTAAAATAGAACTGAGAGTCCAGAAACAAATCCTAACATTTATGATTGATTTCTTGACAATGGTGCCAAGACAATTAAGTGGAGAAAGATTAGCCTTCTAAACAAATGATACTGGGACAACTGAATATCAGCATTCAAAAGAATGAAGTTGGACCTCTACCTTCCATCATCTACAAAAATGAACTCTAAATGGATCAGAGCTAAAACTATAAACCTGTTAGAAAAACCTTAGGGGTAAATCAATGTGACCTTGGAGTAGACAGTGGTTTCTTAGGTATGACCCAAAAAGCACAAGCAACAAAGGAATAGATTATATTGTACTTCGTTAATATTGAAAATTTTTTTACCTTAAAGGACACCATCAAGAAGGTAAAAAGACAATTCTCAGAATGGAAGAAAATATTTACAAATCAGAGATCAGAAAAGGGACTTGTGAGTAGGATATGTAAATGACTTTTATAATGCAACAATAAAATGACAAGTGGCCCAGTTGAAAAGGACAAAAGATTTTAATAGATATTTTGCCAAGGCAAATATGCAAATGGGTGATAAACCATAAAAGCTGCTCAACATCATTAAAGAAATGCAAATTAAGACCAAATGAGATACTACTTCACATCTACTAGGATGGCTGTAATCAAAAAGACAGAATAAAGTAACAAGTGTCCATAATGATGTAGAGAATTTGGAACCCTCATACATTGTGGGTGAGAATGTTAAATAGTGCAGCCACTGGAAAAACAGTTGGCCATTCCTCAAAAAATTAAATACAGAGTTATCATGTGACCTAGCAATTTTTCTCCTAGGTATATGTCCCAGAGAATTGAAAACGTGTGTCTACACAAAGAGTTCTACACAAAGGTTCATAGTAGCATTATTCATAGTAGTGAAAAGTGGAAATAATCCAAAGTTCATCAGTTGATGAATGAATAAACAAATGTTCAGTTCAGTGGCTCAGTCGTGTCTGACTCTTTGCAACCCCATGGACTGCAACAGGCCAGGCTTCCCTGTCCATCACCAACTCCTGGAGCTTGCTCAAACTCATGTCCATCGAGTCAGTGATGCCATCCACCATCTCATCCTCTATCGTCCCCTTCTCCTCCCACCTTCAATCTTTCCTGGCATCAGGGTCTTTTCCAGTGAGTCAGTTCTTTGCATCAGGCGGCCAAAGTATTGGAGTTTCAGCTTCAGCATCAGTCCTTCCAATGAATATTCAGGACTGATCTCCTTTAGGATGGACTGGTTGGATCTCCTTGCAGTCCAAGGGACTCTCAAGAGTCTTCTCCAACACCACAGTTCAAAAGCATCAATTCTTCAGCATTCATCTCTCTTTATAGTCCAGTTCTCACATCCATACTTGACTACTGGAAAAACCACAGCTTGGACTAGAGATCTTTGTTGGCAAGTAATGTCTCTCTGCTTTTTAATATGTTGTCTAGGTTGGTTACACCTTTTCTTCCAAGGAGCAAGCATCTTTTAATGGCTGCAGTCACCATCTCAGGTGATTTTGGAGCCCAAGAAAATAAAGTCTGTCACTGTTTCCATTGTTTCCCCAGCTATTTGCCATGGAGTGATAGGACCAGATGCCATGATCTTTGTTTTTTGAATATTGAGTTTTAAGCCAACTTTTTCACTCTCCTCTTTCACTTTCATCAAGAGGCTCTTTAGTTTCTCTTCACTTTCTGCCATAAGGGTGGTATCATCTGTGTATCTGAGGTTATTGATAATAACAAATGCTAATAAACAGCAAATAAACAGATGTTATATAACCATGAAATGAAAAATTATTCAGCCATAAAAAGGAATTAAATATGATACATGCTCCATTACAGATGATCCTTAAAAACATGCTGAGTGAACAAAGCTAGTAGGAAATAAAAACACATATTTATAAAAACACAGTTATAAAAATGGGCAAATCCATAAAGACAGAAACTAGATTAATGGTTGTCAGGGAGAAAGGAAGATAAGGAGAGATTGCCCATGGGTGGAGATTTCTTTTTGGATGATGAAAATGTTCCAAAATTAGATAGTGGTGATGAGTTCCACAACTCTGTGAATATACTAAAGAAAAATCATTGATGAGTATACATTAAAAAAGTGAATTTTATGGTATGTAAATTTTATCTCAACAAAAGCTGTTATAAAAAGTCAGCTTTAGCACTTCAGTTGCTTTCAAGTACCATAGCTTCAAACATGCCAACTCAGACTTTTTAAATTGAAATTAATGAAAATGTAAATGTTATGTAGAAAATTTTAAACATAATTAGCCAAAGTAAAAATGCAATTTTCTGAACTACTGTTTAATGTTCGTTATCATGCTGTTTTATTTCCTGACTTTTTCATTGATGCTTTGCAAATTAATTCAGGATTTCTCTTTTAATTCCATTAAAATGTGCTTAGGAAGTCATGATGGAAAGGTTAAAAAGTTTATCAAAATGGCATGATAGAACAAAATTGTAGTTACTAAATAGCTGTGTTTGAGAATTTTATTCTTGGAGATTATATAATATTGTCATAACTCTAAGCTGCAGGGCTTAGGAGAAAGGCACAGAAGTTTAAGGTTAGGGTGGAAAGTCTGGGTCTGGCTCACATACATAAGGGAAGTGCTTTTTCTTTCTCTTCCTGACTTCCCATTTTAGAAGATTTTTCAGATTGGGGATTTATCAGAGAAGCATAAGGCAAATGACTCTTCCCATACTATTGTACAGGTAGTGAATCACAATGCAGTTTGATTCATTGTCTGGAAATCTTAGAAGTCGGGATCATTGATGGATTTGTTCACAGGCCAAAACCATAAGTTTGTTAATGAACATCAAGGTAATTTAATCCTCCAGAATTTTCCTGGAACATTTGAAATCCATAAGGCACAGTTAAAGTATAAATGCCTACAGGGATTCAGTGCGGTTCAGTTGCTCAGTCGTGTCCAACTTTGCAACCCCATGGACTGTAGCACTCCAGGCTTGCCTGTCCATCACCAACTCCTGGAGCTTGCTCAAACTCATGTCCATTGAGTCAGTGATGCCATCCAATCATCTCATCCTCTGTTGTCCCCTTCTCCCACCTTCAATCTTTCCCAGCATCAGGGTCTTTTCCAATGAGTCAGTTCTTTGCATCAGGTGGCCAAAGTATTGGAGTATCAGCTTCAGCATCAGTCCTTCCAAAGAATATTCAGGACTGATTTCCTTTAGAATGGACTGGTTGGATCTCCTTGCAGTCCACGGGACTCTCAAGAGCCTTCACCAACACCACAGTTCTAAAGCATCAATTCTTCGGTGCTCAGCTTTCTTTATAGTCCAATTCTCACATCCATACATGACTACTGGAAGAACCACAGCTTTGACTAGAGACCTTTTTCAGCAAGTAATGTCTCTGCTTTTTAATATGCTAAGTTGGTCATCACTTTTCTTCCAAGGAGCAAGCATCTTTTAATTTCCTGACTGCAGTTACCATCTGCAGTGATTTTGGAGCCCCCAAAAATAGTCTCTCACTGTTCCCATTGTTTCCCCATCTATCTGCCATGAAGTGATGGGACCAGATGTCATGGTCTTAGTTTTCTGAATTGCTTTAAGCCAACTTTTTCACTTTCCTCTTTCACTTTCATCATCAACAGGCTCTTTAGTTCTTCTTCACTTTCTGCCATAAGGGGTTAGAGAATGTGAATATAACTATCATGCCATGGAAAAATAATATTAACAGATTATAGCCCAAACTAATCTCAGAGGACCTACGTTGGCACATACGGTAAGTAAATCAAGAAAGAGAATGAAAGGAATTTAATATAGTGATTGTCTTTTTCTTCAGCTGCTTTCAAAATTGTGAAAACTTGGCTTGGTCCAGAAGCAGTGAGTTTGTTGAAGTTTACGAGTAAAAATGACATCCAAGACTATGTCAGTGTAGAATACCTGCCTCCTCACATGGGTGGAACTGTGAGTACAGTACCTAAAACCTGTTTTTAAAATAAGACTGGGTCGTGACACATGAGGCTGTATTCTTTCCTCAACAGAAACAGAAAAGCGATATCTTAACATCCTAAGAAAAATTAGATACTCTAAAATAGCAACCAGAGTTATAGACATTTTTTATTAAAAATTTTGAGTTTTTAAATAACCCTATATGCAAAACAGAAAAAGAGACTCAGATGTATAGAACAGACTTGTGGACTCTGGGAGAAGGCGAGGGTGGGATGTTTCAAGAGAACAGCATCGAAACATGCATATTATCTAGGGTGAAACAGATCACCAGCCCAGGTTGGGTGCATGAGACAAGTGCTCGGGCCTGGTGCACTGGGAAGACCCAGAGGGATCGGGTGGAGAGGGAGGTGGGAGGGGGGACCGGGATGGGGAATACATGTAAATCCATGGCTAATTCATTTCAATGTATGACAAAAACCACTGCAATGATGTAAAGTAATTAGCCTCCAACTAATAAAAGTAAATGGGAAAAAAAAAAAACTCAACATCCAAAAACTAACTAACTAAATAAATAAATAAATAAAAATATTGGCATAAATAAATAATTTTTGAATAGGTCATGGTTTTATATGATTATAAACTAAAAGATACTCAGTAAAAGTATTCAGAAACAAGTATTCAGTAAAAATTCTTTGTACTGCAATGGCTACCTCCTGTTCTCCTCTCTAGTTTAATTTTTTTTTTATTTCCAGGGATCTGTGTTACCTATATTATATAAAAAACTATATTAAATATGTAATATATAAACAACTATAGTATTCATATATATATATAATTCTTTTTCCCTCACATGGTTTTAACCAAGTAGTGTATTTATACACTATTGTGTGAGCTGCTTTTTACTTCACAAAATCTCTTAGAAATCATTCAAAATCATTATGTGATAAGCTGTCTTATTCTTGTTCATGGCTGCATAGTATTCCACTGTCTAGAGATGACCCATAAATTGTTTAATGAATGACTATAAATCACTTAATTGCCTTTTGATGTCACTTTAGTTTGATTTCGGCTATTTACTGTTGAACAGTTTTTAATTTAAAAGTTAATATATACTATAATATTTTTTGGAAATGATCTTACTACTTACAAATAAGAGACCAGAAGTAAGTAGTTATGTGTTAAATTTTTAGTACTCCATAGCAATGAACATAATTGGATAAGGACTTTTTTTAAAAATAAACTGTTAAACCTATGGATTTTGTATGCTTTGGGTTAATTTGATTGATAATACTTCAGTTATTTGACTTTTGCAATCTACTTTGTACTGGCAAAATTACATTCAACTAGAATCAAAGGAGTAGCAAAATGAAAAGTTTTTGTGTATCATTTTCTGTGTTTTCTTTCATTGGAAAAAAACCTTGAATTGTTAATTTTGGGGGGAAGTTATCAACCTTTTGTTTGTACAATACATCTGGAACCTATGAAAGACTGGATAAAATATCTGAACCACAATTGACTCTTCACCAGAGTGGTGTATTATACAGAAAGTTCTCAGCAGCTTTTGACAACCAGCTAAGGATGATTTTAAGAAAAGAAAGGAAGAATAGTATGAGGTCCCTAGATAATACTTATGAACTGAGACTTAGATTTATTTTAAAAGATATAAAATATATATATCCTTATGTCTGAGACTGTTTCCGGGCTTATCACAACGTAATCCTACAGAGAACTCTACAACACTTCAACTCACTGCAAAAGAAACTGGGTGGGATGAGGGTAACAAAAATAGAAATAGAGACATGCACAATTATTTCTTCAGCCAAACTGAACCTTAAACTGGTTATGAGTATCTTGATTCCTAGCATCTGAAAAACCAAATGAAAAGACTCTTATTACTGAATGATGGTCATTAAAGATGATTTCAAAGATGTTTCTTTTTCTTCCCCTAAATATTGAATTATTTCTAATTTTTCTAACTTTTATTGTCAGTTTCAGGTGTACATCAAAATGAATGAATCAGTTGTACATATATCCATTCTGTTTCAGATTCTTTTCCCATATAGGTTATTGTAGAGTGTTGAGTTCCCTGTTGTGTATAGTAGGTTGTTATTAGGTTGGTGCAAAAGTAATTGCAGTTTTGCATTGTTGAACTTTGCCATTTTTTTAATATATATATTTTATTGAAGTATAGTTGACTTACAGTGTTTCAGGTGCACAGCAAGGTGATTCAGTTATACAAATACACATATTATTTTTGAAATTATTTTCTATCATAGGTTATTACAAGATATTGACTATAGTTCCATATGCTATACAGTAAAACTTTGTCGCTTATTGCATATCTAGTTTTTAATTAGAAATCTAGCATTCTAGTCATACTAAGTCAAACAGGTGGAATCAAAATGTCATAATTTTTTAGTTAGACAAAAATTCATAAGTTTTCTAAAATATATATATTACACATTTACATATGTGTATACAAAAGTTTTTCTACTACACTTGATAAAGGCTTGAGAAAGAGTATCCAAAAAAAAGAAGAGATGGAAAAATTAGAGAACATAAACTAAATGAAATGGGAGCCCTGAAATAGAAAAAAGTGAAATATACTAGATAAAATTAAAAGATCATGATATAGTCAAGTTGTTTTTAAACATGACTGCTTGTTAGAAACATATCTGGAGCTCTGGAGAGAAAAAGAAATACCTGAGCATTTGTATTTTTAAAAAAGTTTCAAGATAATTTTGATATGCATCTAGATTTTAAAAAGTGATTACAGGTTTTTTCTGTTAGATACTAGTTTTGGTGATATAGAGGTCTATTATTTTATTAATATTAAGTGAGTAATATAAGTATTTATAAGTATTAAGTGAGTAATATAATCACAAAAGTAAAAGATGTTTATCAGTTTTCACAGTCAATAGCCAGACAAAAAATAAAAGTTAATTACAATTGCAAGCCATAATGGGAACATGATTAACTTAACAATATAAAATAATTACATACAATTTGGTGGGGAGGTCAAGCAGACTGATGTGGTAAGTAGAAGTGTGTACATGCACATGTTTTCATCCACCCTGCCAGTCTATGTCTTTTGGTTGGTGCATTTAATCTATTTACATTTAAAGTAATATCAATATGCATGATGTTGTCAAAAGCTTTTTCTGCATCTACAAAGATAATTATGTGGTTTTTATTCTTCTGTTTGTTAATATGATATTTCACACTAATTAATTGGCTTGCATTGAAGAATCCCTGCATCCCTGGGATAAATCCCACTTGATCATGATGTATTGTTGGATTTGGTTTGCTAGTATTTTGTTGAGGATTTTTGCATCTGTTTATCTGTGATATTGGCCTATAATTTTCTTTTTTTGTGCTTTGTCTGATTTTGATATCAGGGTGATGATAACCTTTTAGAAGGTGTTTGGGAGTTTTCCTTCCTCTGCAGGAGTTTCAGAAAAATAGGTGATAAGTTTTCTCTAAATGTGAGATATAATTCACCTTTGAAGCCATGTGGTCCTGGACTTTGTTGAGAGTTTTTAAAATCACAGTTTCAATATCACTTGTTATTGGTCTGTTCACATTTTCTAGTTTGTCCTGGTTCAGTCTTGGAAGGTTGTGCCTTTCTAAGAATTTGTCCATTTCTTCTAGATTGTCTGTTTTATTGGCACGTTTAGTAGTGTAGTAGTAGTCTCTCATGATCCTTTGTATTTCTGTGGTGCTTATAGTAATTTCTTTTTCATTTGTAATTGTACTGATTTGAGTCCTCCCTTTTTTTCATGATGAGTCTGGCTAAAAGTTTATCAGTTTTGTGTATCTTTTGAAAGACCCAGCTTTTAGTTTCATTCATCTTTTCTATTGTTTTGTCTCCATTTCATTTATTTCTACTCTGATCTTTATGATTTCTTTCCTTATGCTAACTTTGGATTTTGTTTGTTCTTTCTCTAGTTGCTTTAGGTGTAGGTTTAGGTTGTTTATTTGAAATTTTTCTTGTTTTCTGTGGTAAGATCATATTGGTATAAACTTCCCTCTTAGAATTGTTTTTGTTGCTTCGCATAGGTTTTAGATTGTCGTGTTTTGTCATTAGTCTCTAGGTATGTTTTTATTCTCTCTTTGATTTCTTTAGTGATCCATTGGTTTAGTAACATATTGTTTAGCCTTCACATGATTGTGTGTGTGTGTGTGTTTTCTTTACAGTTGTTACATGTAATTTAATTCTAATCTTACAGTGTTGTGGTCAGAAAAGATACTTCATATGATTTCAGTTTTCTTAAATTTACCAAGGCTTGATTTGTGGCCCAAGATGTGATGTATTCTAGAGAATGTTCCATGTGCACTTGAGAAGAGAGTGTATCTGCTGCTTTTAGATGGAATGTTTTGTGAATATCAGTTGGGTTTATCTGGTCTAATGAGTCATTTAAGGCCTATGTTCCTTATTGAATTTCTGTCTAGATGATTTGTCCATTAGTGGAAGTGGGATGTCAAGTCCCCCATTATTTTCTGTTTATTCTCTATTTTTTGTTAAACTTTTTATTTTTTACTGGGATATAGCCAACTAACAGTATTGTGATAGTGTCAGGTGAACAGTGAAGGGTAAAATCTCCCATTATTGGGTTACTGTTGATTTCCCTTAGCATTTGCCTTGTATATTGAGGGTCTTTATGTTGAGTGCATATATATTTATATTGTTATATCTTCTTCTTGCATTAATCCCTTGATCATTATGTAATGTCTTTGTCTTTTATAACAGTCTTTAAAGTCTGTTTTGTCTGATATGAGTATTGCCACTCTAGCTTTCTTTTCATTTCTATTTGCATAGAATATCTTTTTCCATCCCCTCACTTTCAGTCTGTATGTGTTCCTAGGTCTGAAATGGTTCTCTTATAGACAGCATATATATGAGTCTTATTTTTGCATCCATTCAGGCAGTTTGTGTCTTTTAGTTGGAGCATTTAACCTATTTACATTTAAGGTAATTATTGATATGTATCTTATTGCCATTTTTAAAAATTCTT